GAGCACTTCATGTTGGATGTGGCAGAGAAAGAGGAGTCGTTTCTTGGGTTTGCGCTGGCAGATCTTACGTGTCAACAAGACAATTGCAATAGGAGTTGGTTGGAATTGACCTTTTATTCAAAGAGGCCTGGAAGATGTGCTGAAGTGATAAAATCTACAGGGTTTGGGGTGTAGAAGACAACCTGTGTTTGCACTATCTTGCCAGGCTTTCAGAAGCAGCAAAAGAATCATCTGGGTCCAGGATGCTGGACATTCTCTATCTGTTTAAAAGAGAGAAAGATTATTTGGGAGCAAATAATGCACTTTCAAAACCAGTAATTCTAGAATGTCAAAAATTATTTGAAAATTCCCTTCAAAAGCACTATATAAATTCACAAAATTGTATTTATATTTTCACTTTGGCTTTGTTTGGAGGAGTATAACAGAGGAAAATGATGTTCTGAAATGCACTTTCTGAAGCAGTTTGACTTTTAGCTTCATAAAGGGAGTTCCTAGCCCTTTTAGATTGTCCTAAGTAGAATAAAGAATAGAATTAAAGGAACTGAAAAGGAAAGTTAACTTTTGATTTTAGAAAAATGAAACATTTCAAGCYAACTCCAAACATTTCCTGAGTTTCTTCTTTTTCTTAACTTCTCAGAAAAATCTGAATTATTTTCTTTTTGTTGTTTAACTCATCTTTTTTTTTTTTTCCAAGATTAATCTAGAAATATCCTTTCCACTGTGCAGGCAGGGGCAGGGCCTCACTGTGAGGGCCTGCAGCAGGCAGGGCCTCACTGTGAAATTCCCAGTGTCCCATTTCTGCAGCATTCATTATTTCATATTGCATATCAGGTTAGGGAATCTTAGGTTCAAGTGGCATCAGTAAAACTGCCATCAGCAGAATTCATTTAATATCCTCATGCTGATTGTGAGCAAACACAACCTCTCTTTAAAGTCCTTTAAGGCAGACAGAGGCTTTGAAGTGGTTAAACTTGGCTGCAAGACCTGAAGGACATCAATGAAGTGAGTGTTGGTGAACGTCTCCAGAGATGGTTGCTCACCGTAGCTCCGAGCTCTCATCAACCCCATGTTCTTCAGCTGTGGTGAAGGAGGTTGTGGAGGACACTGCTGAGGTCACCTTCACCAGCAGCCATTTTAAACTCTTCTTTGCCAAGGAGAAGGCAGAACTAAAGTAAAATAACCTTTTGGGAGTGAAATCATCCCCATGCAAAGATCCTGGTGTACAGAGGGACCAAMGTAGATCATCTTACAAAGCTGGGAACCATGGTCCAGAACCCTSTGGGATGGTTTCTTCTCAAAACACAGAGCAACAAGTTTTACCAGGCTCCTCTCATATCCTAGCCAGGATTTTTGACTTTCTGGTATCTTGCCTTTAAGGTTGGTCTTGAGTGATAGGAATGTTAAATACTAATGGAGGACATTCCACAACTGCAGGGTCCTTTTCCAAGACAGGATTAGTGTCACAGGAGCAACTTACCCAGTGTCTTAGAGAGCAGACATTTTTCCTAGTCTAATACCAAAAAATCAGCAGTTAAAGGTGTATTCTCCTTTCTCATATCTTTACTGCATGTAATGAGTGTATAATTTTACAGAACAGCTTCTTTGAGATAGGTCAATATCTCAGAGATTGAGGCCAGTTTCAAGTAGAGCAGAATGACAGCTAAGAGGGTTTAGCTGTGCTGAATACCATTTGGACAACATGAGGAACTAGTAACTACTACTTTTCTAGACCATTCCAATTCCTTGAGTCAGGAATTAGCACTTTATTAATTTATATTTAAGTGCTATTAATTAGCACTTTCCAACTTTCCGACACCAAAAATGGTCACAGAGATCATCCTGTCGCATCAGGCACTGCTTTAATAAAAGGTCTGTGTTTCTCTCTTCCTTCCATTGCCTCTGGAGGCTCTGGATTGAAGATGTGTAGAGCACATGGGACATGGAGTGTGGTTGCAGTGGGGAGGAGTTGGATCTCTCAGGGAGGTCACCATGTGAACGTGGCCCATGCCCACTCTTGCTTTAAGGGACTGGCTCTTGTGTGGTAGCTCAAGCATTTCTCATCCTCAGGAAGGATTTCAAGATGTTTAACAAATCCCTGTGCTGTTCTAGTCCTTCACACATCTGGTATCTATAACTCACTTGTCAGCACTGCAAAGTGTGTCAAGATCAATAGATTTTTAATGTCCATTTCCAGGGAAGATCCTGGCTGTGCTATTGCAGAGCTGTCGCATGTAAGATGTCAGCAAACATTCAGCCAAGAACCAAGGCTCTTCTTCAGCTACAAAGCCAGGATCATCTCAGCAAATGTGGGGAAGTCTAGGGTCCTTTTGAGCTGAATGCTCACAGACTTGTTACTCCTGCATTAACCCCAGCAAATCACATCAATAAGGAGAACAACAGAGGAAATCATGCTCATTTTTAGCTGATCACAGGCTTTTTAGGGAGCAGCCCATATCTTGTTACACTTTTGCTTAACGCAGCACATAATGAGGCACCATGCTAGCAAATCCAAGCACTYGGCTTCCAAGCTCACCTCCATTTACCAGCATTTTATGGGCAATGGGATAAACTAGTCTGGATTTGTGTCCCAAAAGCCGCCTTCTACATATACACTACTCCAGTCTCCATCCTTAATTTCTATCTTTTTGGCTGCATAAATGATGATTTGTGCTTTTAGCTGTCTTGCTGCTTGGCCTAGCAGCAACCTGGCTGGTGGGTTTGGTGTTAGATTGATTAAAAAGCATATTGTACCTGGCTTTTCCCTTGGCTGAAGGACACCTTTTCAATGTTCCTCCTCTGCCTTGTCGCTGATTTTGAAGGAATGTATTTGAAGTTTTTCCTGCAGCAGATCTGACTGAAAACAGCAAATGGGTTCAGAATTGATAGGAAGGAACCTAAGTAACAGAGAGAGAAAAATTGCATGATCTTGTTTCCTTTGGGAAAGCAATTGAGATTCTAGAGTCTACTTAAAGAACAAAACTGCATCCTAGAAAGACCCCTCCTGTCTTCTGACAAACTTGGGATCATCTTTGAGTTTATCAGTAATATATTCTAGTGAAAAAGCATGTATTCACATCTTTAATCCAGATTTTTAAAGACATTTCCATTCCGTCTCTCAAATCTTCATATAGGAGAGATCTTTTAGCAATGGACAGCAGAGAAATKACTTTAGAAGAATGGGAGATATTGGTGAATAGCAACCAAAGGGGCACAGATAAGTCCATTCATGTATTGCCCATTAAGGTGCAACACRGTTCAGGAAGGATAGCACCCTTCAAACAAGCAGTGTCCCTGGGTCCTTGACAGAATTATTGACGCCCAAGAAGGACTGAATCATAAATSAGGAGGAGGGAAATGAAGAAATAAGGGGAAAAGATAAAGTGGACGTAGCTGGAATTAATACTAAGGAAGGATAGAGATGGAGATTCAGCTCRCAGGGACATCTATGTTTTGATGTGCATGTGTGAGGGTCTTCACCTAGGCTATACTACCTGCAGGGGAACTCTAGTATCACAGTATCACAGAATGGTTGAGGTTGGAAACCTCTAGAGATTATCTAGTCCACCTTCCCCCCMCCACCACTCTATTGAGTCAACAAGAACCCAAAGAGCCATTCAGCTCATTGAAAAGCAGTCACTTGCTCTCCAGGAAGCTCCATTGACCATTTGACCAAGTCTGCATTGGCTGCAACAAGAGCACAGTCAAACGGCAGAAAAAGTTAGACCTAAATATGTGTCTTGGTGTCTTGGGAGCGGAAACATACCCAGAAGACTGGTCTGACCTTAGAAGAGAAGGCTTCTCCATCACTTGTAGTGAGGGCTTGTAGATGGGGTACAAGTGCTAGTAGATGGGACAGGGTGACCCACTGATCTTGCACATGAAGAACATCACTTATTATTGACCCCAGGGGACAGCAGGAACTTCTGCAGCCCTATTTGCCTGTCTGAGTGGGTCATCTGGTGACTAATGAAGTGAGCACGCCCAAAGTGAGGCTTCTGGGAGCCTCTGGCTTTTGTCTGTGTGCCTGTTTCTGTGAAAGTTAAAAGGGAATATCATCGAGATTTTTGTCTTTTGTCAAATCTGGCTGATACTGAATCAGGGAGCTGTTACAGGAGGGAACTGATTGGCACATATATAGCACCCCTCCATGAGGCTCTTTTCCCTAATAAACCATGTTAAAAAAGGTAGCACAACCTGAACGTGGTCAGGTGAATCTAGACAGGAGGGACAGGGGCTGCAGTTTGTCCAGGGACCCAAAATCCAGACGATGGCTTTGTTTTCTGAGGAAAATTCACCATCGTTCAGGTAATTCCTTGTTTGTGTTGGGGTTTTTAGCATCTAAATTCTGCCTGGAGCTCTGTCTGAGAAGAAATGAGCAGTCTAAGGTAGCAGCACCCTTGGGGTTTCTCCATTTCCACTCTCATCAAATAGGGTTATTAGGAATGACAATTTTCAGTGAGCGAATGTGACGTTATTCCTCAGTATTAGAAAGATATTGGTGCTCTGTTGGGAGGAATTAAAAAAATCAAGGCTTGGATTCTGTGGACAGGAAACCAAATGTGTCCATCAGATGCTAAAAATCTTTATATAAAGATATATAGATAAATATATGTTTCTTCAAGAAGTCACTGCTGTGGAAAAAGAGGAAAGAAAGATACTGTTGTTTTTTTCAGTAGCTCTGAAATTCACCATCAGTAGCTGTAAAGAGAGGCCACAGCTTGATACTTAATAAACATTGCATTTCTCAGGCTTTTGGGGTTTTAGCTCTACGATGGCTTTATTTTAAATTGTCCTTTAACAAAATAAACAGCTGCTGGGTGTAATCTGGTGCATTAAAAACGGCACAACACAAGTCACTACTTAGAGGCTTGAGTAAGGGGTGTCTATAGGAAATCGTAGTGCGTAACATTTCTTTACATTTACATATAGGGATGCCTCTGTCGCCTCTTGTCTCCTGTTGTTTTAATTCCTGAACTCTTTTTCTGTTTTTTTCCTCTCAGAAACGAGTTCAGACCTTGGATAGACGTCAAGCCCGTGAAAGCTATAAAAGCTAAGCCCCAGTATAAGCCTCCAGAGGAGAAAATGACCCATGAAACCAGTTACAGCGCTCAGTTCAAGGGGGAAACCAGTAAACCTGGTCCAGCTGATAACAAATTCCTGGAACGCCGAAGGATACGCACTCTCTACAGTGAACCCTACAAAGAACCTCCAAAGGTGAGAAACGCAGCGCAGGGGAACGAGGACCCCCCTGGGGAATCCCACCTTGTGCTGGGACGTGGCTAAAGCAAAGAGGCTGGGCTCAACCCTGCCTCCTTTCATTTCCCTTACATGCTGTCTTCACTGCCAGCCAGCAGGTACATCTAGGGATCCACTTTGGAGATGAACTCTAGTACAGGTTGATGTATTTTGGGGTCTGTGTTGCCCTACCTCAGACTGTCAGCAGGTGAGAGTTAAGCCTAGATTATGAGGGGGTTTTTTTTTGCCTTGTCATTTCCCAGGTCATTTTTATAGAACAATATCTCTTTCCAACTCCAAATCTGTAGACATCCCACATCATTACACTTTATCCCAGGAACAGCATGGTGAGAACCRTATCTGCAGTGAATTCAGAGAGCTTTTGGCAGAAAGCTGATTTGTCTTTGATTAGATGGACATGAGTGAAGCATGGCCTGGACTGAAATCTCTATCAGCCTTGTTTTCTAGGAGCAGCTGAGGATCTGCATCTAAATGGAGCCAGTCTGTGCAGTTTTTGAACCTAGGACCTTCAGTCTTCCCCAGAGTTTGTAACTGCTTAGATTTGTGAAGTTTCAGAGGGAGGGGAGGGCCAGCAGGGAGGAGCTGTTGGCTTCCTTTCCACCTAAAACAGTCCTCCTTATTTTTAGGGCTACAAAAACACGTTCTGGACACTGCTCTGGACTTTTCCTCAGGTGCCACTTGGTGTCCTGAGCCCCAGCTATGCCCAAGTAATTCTCCTCCATTGCAACCATCCTTTAGGTGAAGGAACTGATAAAATGCTGTTAACTTATTGTATCCTGGTCACAAATCTGCATTTGGAGATTTTAGGACCAGAATAATTAATGCGATTTTATTAAGCCCATCTAACGCTGAGTCAGAGGCCAGCTGCTTGCTAAGAGTAGGCCTCAGGTTGCAACCTCAGCTGAAGTACATGGGCATGGACCTGCTGGCACTGTGTCCATCACCACTGGGAAGGAGTTGTCCATTTGCTACTCTGCATGCACCCCTCTACTCCCTTCCCTTCATGGCAGAGTGTAGCTAAGTAACATTCACTGGCTCTTGGATGATGTTTCTGATCTAAATCCTATTTTCCACCTGTCCTTGTGTGTGTCTCTCTCTCTCTTTCTCTCTCTCTGTCGGTGTCTTGCATGTTGCCCTCCATGCAGGTGGAAAAGCCTAGCGTAAAGCCTTCTAAACCAAAAAAGACCACAACAAGCCATAAACCCCTGAAAAAGGCCAAAGACAAGCAGATTGCATCTGGCCGAGCTGCCAAGAAAAAGAGCGCCGAGACTTCCAACACAGCAAAGCCAGAGGACAAGGAGAAAAGTAAAGAGATGAACAATAAACTGGCTGAGGCAAAAGAGTAAATGTCACTGCACTTTTATTTCTCTCTCTTTTCCTTTCCTTTCCTTTCTTTCCTTTTTATTTTTTTTTCTTTGATTAAATAAAGGCCACAAAATTAATTAGAGGCTTCTAATCTGCTTTTTGTTCTGATCGTATTAGAAGCTTTTCTGTTTTATTTCCGAGGAGGATTAGGAAATCCTTTTTTTTTGTCTGAGGTCAGGTTATTCTGCTTTGCCTGCACAACACAGCTCTACACAGAGTGAGGGGGATCACAGGAGGGAAATGGGAATGCACAGAAGAGGTTGTAGGATACGAAGGTTATGGATTAACTGTGCACTGTGAGTGTTTTAAACAGCCTGACCCTTTCCTTGGGCTTGATCTTCCAGTGCTTTGGCAGTGTGGAATTGCTCGTCGATCCAAGGATGCTGAGGATGGGCTGTGCTCTCATCCTACAAGGCCCATGTGGGGGTCACCGTGTTCGGTCACCTCCCACAGGTGCCAGCAGGCCAGGGGAAAGGCTTTGGAGGCGGAAAGGATCAGAGGTTAATTCACAGTGCCRTGGATGTGCCGTGAATCCGCTAGGATCAATGGTGTCACCGAGAGCAGAGTTTCTCCTGATGACGCCAGTGAGAGTTTTGCTTCCATGAAGGAACATGAAATGAGATCCCACGTAAATAAAGACATTGAGCCAAATCCTCTACAAGGCTGGCTCTGTTTGCGTCAGGGCAGCTTCACCCATCAGCATCACTCAAAGGCCTTGATGCCAAAACCATAAGGAGCAAGGGAAGGCACAAGGTCTTCCCAAGCATGCAGTAGGTCAGGTTAGGTTCTCTGCAGGCTCTTCTTCCCTATTGTTTCCCCTAAGATAGTGACCTTTTTAATTGCCCCTGATTTGTTTTGAATCTTGGTCGTTTTTCTTCACTTCTGGGATGCCAGTAGACAAGTATGTGCAACAAGAGCCAGATTTCAGAAGGAGGTTCAGTTTGTAGATGTTGCCTTCCAAGAGGTAGAAGGAGATGAGCCACCAGCGTTGACTAAAGCTGTTCGCCGCAGCTGTTTAGAATTCCAAATCTTTGGAGTTCACATTGGCTCATAAACATGGCAATGGGGCCATAAAACAGTTGTTGGGATCCTCAGACTCCCATTCAAGCAAGATCTCAGAGTTTCAACTCTTATTTACTGTGCTCTTACMCCACAAAATCTCCATATTCAGCAAGATCATGGCCCAACACCCAACATGATGGGACTAGGCAGATTTCTGTGAGCTGATGGGCCAAGCTGCCCTCCACACTTCAGAATTTGGCTCTGATTCAATGACAGTTGAGAGATTTTACAGTCCCAATCCAGACTTAAGTGCCCAGGACCTCAGGGTCCTTCTTTCTTTTTGCAGCTCAATATTTCTTTCCCACCACACAGTCCAGCTTGATGCTTTCAGAGAGAACAAAGGAGGGATGGGAAGTAGGGTAGGGAAGTGGTGTAAGAGGAGAGTTTCAGAACTGTGTTGCTGTAGATATATTTGAATGAAGAAAGTCTTGCTGCTAGGATATTTTAGAGATGTGAAACTATGTAATAGATGAGCTGGGAGGGTGAAGAGCTGAAATGTTGGAATCTCACCCTGTTAGAATTGGGTGTCTTGGAAACATAAATGAGTGCCGGACTCTAAGGCTGAGAGGAGGTTTCCAAAGATGAGGGAAGCTCTGTGGTCTGCAGATAGTGACATTTGCTGGCCTTAGTAATGAATAAATGCCAAGTTCAGTGTATTGTGTGATGTGTCCTGTTTGCCTTGTGCTAACAGCCTAAAGCTTTGAGTATAAAGTAAGTGTAGTGTTCCGAATTCAGTGGTGTATTTCCAAGCTTAGCTGTGTTAGAACTGTGTGCTATGAGCTAGTCAGGTTGTGTATGTGGAAAATATATATTCATATATAGAAATATATATATTTAAACCTCCGATGTTTAGGAGGAAACCAGGGAAATCCTCCAGGAAGTAAAACTGTGGAAATCTTTGCGAATGTAATGCATTTTTAATGTGCATGCTTCATGGAGACGCTGGCCTGTCCATAGTGACCATTGCTTTTCTGAGTGCTCAGAAGCCCCCGCAGCACCGCTTGAGTGCAAAGCTCAGCTCTGTCTCCAGAGCAGCTCAACGAAAGGCTTGCGTTGAACTCACAAAGGGGAGTCCCACTCACAGCTCTTCCTGCCCCTTGGCACAAGGGGTAGCCATGCAGAGAGACCTGAGCTTTCCAAGCTGTGCAATTTCCTGGAATTTAGATGCTTCATCCTTCTTCACACTCCTCAATAATGCCCTTTCTTATCTCAGGATATAGCAACAGCTGAGAAGATGACGTGTCACAGCAGGCAGAAGATGTCAGGAAGGCACATAGAGAGTTAACAGTAGCCCAACACACTGATCTCATGGAGTGGAACACCAGGCAAAATCATTCTCGCAGTTATTTTTGTCCCCAAGCTTTGCATTCTAAGAAACAATGCACTTACCACCACCTTGAATTCAAAGGGAATTTCGCCCTTGACTTCAATGGGAACTAAATTCTGCCCAGGCAATGTCTGTAAGAGCCATATTTGGACCGCCAGCTCTAAGCATCTCAGTAACTTCTGATCAACCACCCGCTATCCAGAGTTGCTGGATTGCTTCTTCTCAAAGAAGAGCATCCATTGGGGTGCTTGAATCAGCCCCACGCAAAGGGTGGTCAGAATATGGCCTTATATTTCTTTAACACATAAAATTTTAGGTGGCATCTAACTACAAAGCTAGATATGAAGTGCTAGCTAGTGATCTAAACTCCAGTTTCCGTGGGAAGAGAGAGAAATCTGCCAAGGATAGTTTATCTACTGTGTTTCAACATTACCTTTAGGATGGGATGAACGTATTCCTTGGWAGGTTTCCCTCTTTGCACGAAGAGCTTAGGAGACTGGCAGGATATGGGGGCCTCCCCTTACAAAGCTAAAGTCAAGGGAAATAAATTCTGGCCTTTGCTCCACATGAGCTGGGCCCTTGACATACATCTAAGTGCACATTCTAGCCTTGCATTTAATGCCAGGAGCAGCTGTAGAGTCAGGCCTTAGGGTGAAACCCTGCATTGCTCCATGTTCCACAGACTTTATGCCAACCCACTCAGGTTTTCAGAAAGGAGACACAAATCTCTGCTGTTTCAAGTTCACTTTGGACTCTGAGCTTTTCAATCCCTTTGGGAAAGAGTGTTCTGCTGTTCTGTGTTCCCAACTACCACAACGCTGATTCTGTCTCCCCGCAAACTTGTAATTATGTTTTGCTTTTCCTTGTAAAAAGAAAAAGAATGATGTTTTGCTTTTTACCCTGTCAAAGTTGCTCTGCTGTCGGTTGCTGGCTTTCTCATTTTCACTGTATTGTATTGTTACTCCTTTCTGCCAAATGGTGCTAATTGCTTCTCGAGCTCCTGTTCTCTGACTGCTTTGCACACCGATCACCTGCTTGCTCGTTTGCAATGCGTCCATTGTAAATACATGGCTCCCATGAATTCCACAATCTCTTGCCTCTTGGAGGCAGATAAGAAGTGTCTAATTAAGATTTTGTGGCCTGGGTTTGGTTGCATATCACGGATTGTCTCTTTGTAATGTGTTAAGCACACCTCCTCGTGGTGCTTTTTCATTCTTGCTGTGCGTATGAGAATGACACACACCCACACACACCTATACATACACACACACACACACACACACACGGATTAATGTATAGCCAATTGATTGTGACGTGCTTGTGATCTTTGCTTGCTCAAAGGGTTTTTTTGCCAATGATAAATAAATGCTAAAGACAAATACCACCTCCTTGATCTTGTTTTCTCGATAAGAAGCACATTTAAGTGGAAAGAAAAARAAATACCCTTCCAAGTGTAATCAAATTTATGTTGCTAGAGCCACCAGTACCATGTATGGACATTTGAGCTATCACAGTCTGACTGCCTTAGATGCCCTTTGAGCCTTTGCAGATATGAAGATGGACAGTGAAGTGATGTGAGCRGAGCAGGTAGTTTGACTTTATTTCCTATATAGGATGTTGAGCAGCAGGTTCTTGTGGTGAATTCCCTGCTTGCAGAGTGCTGCTGCACCAGGTTCTGCCCCTTGCAGTGTCCACATCGCACTCCATSAGGGAGCAGAAACATGGAAGCTGTTCCATGAAGAGCTGGAGGGAGACAAGGTGCTGTAGACCAAGGTGCTTTAGTTACAAACCTTGTTCCATTTTCCTGCAGCTTTTGCTTTTAACCAAAACCACTTTAAAGTCCCATTTTTTGACCATTAGGTGTCAGGAGACTCCAAATACACACTGAAAAGAGGTGGCAAATGCTTGGGTTGAGCTCTCGGGGAGCAAGCCTAGCCACCTTTTAACAAGAGCTTGGAATCTTTATGTGACAGTGTCTGTGGAAGTGCAAAGCACTGATTTATATATTATATAAATATAGCAACTAATGACAATTTGGTTTCAAATGGTGAACCTTAATCTTAGCCTCGCCTCTTTTTTTTTTTCTTTTACTCAGCTTTTAAGCTCCTACTTTCCATTTTTTTAATTATGTTTTCTCTTTTAATGACTATTCCAGTAACATCCCCACCAAATCCTTAACGGGAAAAAGATTTGTCTGTCTTTGGATTATATCTAAATATCTCCTCCAGCATAGCCCTGTTGACCTCCATGTAATATGGACTCTTTTTTTTTTTTTCCTATTATTTCTGAATGCCATTTCTCATCCCTACTTGGATTTATTAACCATTCACTTTCTGAATTTATTCCATCTCTGACTACATGCTGCATCCTAAACCTGCCATCCCACTCTGCCTTCCCTCTCCCTTCCCCACCAGCTTCATCCACACGTAGCTCATGCTTAACAGTTGTACAAGTTTTAAAATGCTTTAGCTGAGCGATAGGTCYTGGTGTTTGTCTTTTGGCTCATCCATTGCTGGTATTGGAGAAAATGTTGGCTAAGACTGAGCATTGATTGGGCTTATCTGTGAGAGTCCRTTGTGGTCAACAAG